TATTTAATGTATGTACATAGGTTATTTCATCTATGAATCTCATTTCAGGAGAGTAAAGCATTTGCTATGAAGGAGACAATTATAAAGCAGAAACTTTTTTTAAGCTTAACTCAATATATTCCTTTTTAAAAAAAAATTATTTTTATTGATTCCAGAGAGGAAGGGAGAGGGAGAGAGGGATAGAAACATCAATGATGAGAGAGAATCATTGATCAGCTGCCTCCTACGTGCCCCACACTGGGGATCGAATCCGAAACCTGGGCCTATGCCCTGACGAGGAATCGAACCATGATCACCTGGTTCCTAGGTCTGATGCTCAACCACTGAGTCATGCCAGCTGGGGCTAAAGTATTAATATTAGAGTATTAATTTTATTTATTTTTTATTTTTTAAAAATACATTTTTATTGATTTCAAAGAGGAAGAGAGAGGGAGAGAGATAGAAACATCAATGATGAAAGAGAATCATCAATCAGCTGCCTCCTACACGCCCCCCACTGGGGGTCAAGCCCGCAACCCTGGCATGTGCCCTTGACTGTATTGAACCTGGGACTCTTCAGTCCGCAAGTCGACGCTCTATCCACTGAAGCAAACCAGCTAGGGCTGTAGTCGGCAAACTGCGGCTCTCGAGCCATATGCAGTTCTTTGGCCCCTTAAGTGTGGCTCTTCCACAAAATACCGACTTCTGCGCATAAGCCACGAAGTTTCAATCGCACTATACATGCGTGCCCGCACGTAGTATTTTGTGGAAGAGCCACCCTCAAGGGGCCAAAGAGCCGCATGTGGCTCTCGAGCCACAGTTTGCCGAACACTGAGCTAGGGCAAAGTATTAATTTTAGATAGTATTGAGGTTTTGGCCTTTTGCTTTTTTTCTTCAATTTTACATTAGTGCTCATTTTATACTTTTTTTACTATACATTTTTAATGTTTAGATAATCAGAATTTCTAAATTTGTCTAGTATTCTTAAATATTTTCTATTTTAGGAAACCACTTGGTTTCTTGAATTATTGCAAAAAGATGTTTGTTTTTACTGTTATTAGACTTGTGAGAGGAAAAGAATATATTTCAAGATTTATTTTTTTTAACATTTGTAGGGGCTTGTTAGCTGTTGTAGTAGTTAATCTCTCCACTTTGATTTATTAACTTTGGGACTTATTAAAAAAGTTATGTACTTAAGGTTCTAAAAATCTTTTAGGATTAATTGTAATTTATATCTGTGGTACAACTTGAACTTGCTTAACTCCATAATACTCTATGTTTTATTGTATTTGACAGTTATAAAACTTATTACAAATTTAATTCTCAAAACTTTGCAAGGTAGGTGTTTCTATTTTGTGAATAAGAAAACAGGGGCAGAGAGTTTAGGAACTCAAGATCTCTGTAAAGCGGCAGAGCTGTGATTGGAACACAGTCTTCTATTTCAGATTCTTTTATTCCAGGTAAGCTAGCAGTCAGAATTACCTAGAGTGCTTTTTAGAAATTCCTGGGTCTCATCCCCAGATGCTTATAAAGTAGAATTGACCTAGAATTCTGTAGTTTTGTAACTTTTGAGGGTGAGTCTAATGATTAGCCAACTTTGGAAAATACTAGATTAAGTCACACTTTTGGTGATACATACTTTGCTGGATACAACTTGAAAAAAATCCCAGGCATTCTTGCAATTAGGGATAAATAGTTTTTGCATTTATTTGATAAATATTTTTTCTGAGCATCACCTTGTTGGCATTGTTTCATATGCTAGGATACAATGAGTAAAACAGAACTTCTTGCTCTTAAGGAAGTTATGTTCTAGAGCGGGGAAGAAAATAAACAAGTAAAGTATATATTTTTTGTGTGAACTGATGAAAAGTGCTGCAGAGAAGTTCCAGTTGGATGGCTTAGTTGGTTGGAGTGTTATCCCTTAAACCAAAAAGATTGCAGGGTCAGTTCCGGTCAGGGCACATACCTAGGTTGTGGGTTTGTTCCCTGGTTGGGTTGTGTATGGGAGGCAGCTGGTCCATGTTTTTGCTCTCATGTCGTTGATGTTTCTTCTTTCTCTCCCTCTCCCTCCTTTTCTTTCTCTCTAAAATCAATAAATAAACCTATTCTCAGGTGAGGATTATTTATTATTTTTACTGATTTTAGAAAGGAAGGCGGGGGAGAGAGAGAGAGAGAGAGAGAACATCAATGCTGAGAGAATCATTGATCAGCTTCCTCCTGCATGCCCCACACTGGGGATCGAGCCCAAAACCTGGGCATGTGCCCTGACTGGGAATCAAACCGTGATGCTCATCACTCAGCCATGCCGGCTGGGCTTGGGTGAGGATTATTTTTTAAAAAGAAGAAGAAAAGTGCTGTGGAGAAAAATAAAGCCACAGGGACTGAATTTCAAGGAATGAGGAGATCTCAATTTTAAACAGCACGGTAAAGGAAACTCTTTCTTGAGAAAGTAACATTTGAGCAAAGACCTGAAAGATGAAGACAAATGAGCCTCGTAGGCAGGGGAGGTCACAAATATAAGGAAGGCCCAGAGAGTGGAGGCTGCCTGTCTATATTTGTGCCACTACAAGGAAACACCAGAGCTGGATCTGAGTACATGAGCAGTCATAGGATATGGGTCTGAAAAATAATGGGGAGGGGACTAGACCAAGTAAGGTCTTTATTGGCCATTTTAACATCTCTGGATGATAATCTGACTTACATGTTAAAAGGATCACAGTGGCTGCTGTGTTGAAAATAATAGGTCATGGGCAAGACCTGAAGCAGGGTGACTAGCTGGAAGGCAGGTGCAATATTTCACGGGGATCAAGTATGACCAAGGTGATGAGGTATGATTGGATTCTGTATATGTTTAAAAGTGGAGCCAAAAGGAATTGCTGAAAGGTTGGGATACATGATAGGAGAGGGAGAAATCATGGATGATTCCCAGAATTTTGGCTTAAATAATTGGAAGAATGGAGTTGCCAGTTACTAAGATGAGAAGGCTTTGGGGAGAGGAAGATTGGGGGGAAGACCAGGAGATTGGGACCAGTCAAATATGAAACATCCTACATAATAAAGAGGTAATATGCAAATTGACCATCACACCCTTACACAAGATGGTCGCCCTCAAATAGTCAAAAGATGACCACCACAAGATGGCTGGCAGGGGAGGGCAGTTGTGGGCGATCAGGCCAGCAGGGGAGGGCAGTTAGGAGCAAGCAGGCCAGCAGGGGAGGGCAGTTGGGGGTAACTGAGCCTGCAGGGGAGGGCAGTTGGGAGGGACTGGGCCTGCAGGAGAGGGCAGTTGGGGGGACCGGGCCTGCAGGGGAGGGCAGTTGAGGGGACCGGGCCTGCAGGGGAGGGCAGTTGGGGGTGACCCAGCCTGCAGGGGAGCAATCAGCTGGGGGCAATCAGCTGGCAGGGGAGTGGCAAATTGACCATCACACCCTTACACAAGATGGTCGCCCTCAAATAGTCAAAAGATGACCACCACAAGATGGCTGGCAGGGGAGGGCAGTTGTGGGCGATCAGGCCAGCAGGGGAGGGCAGTTAGGAGCAAGCAGGCCAGCAGGGGAGGGCCGTTGGGGGGAACTGAGCCTGCAGGGGAGGGCAGTTGGGAGGGACTGGGCCTGCAGGAGAGGGCAGTTGGGGGGACCGGGCCTGCAGGGGAGGGCAGTTGAGGGGACCGGGCCTGCAGGGGAGGGCAGTTGGGGGTGACCCAGCCTGCAGGGGAGCAATCAGCTGGGGGCAATCAGCTGGCAGGGGAGTGGTTAGGGGGTGATCAGGCAGGCAGGCAGAAGCAATTAGGGTTCAGGCAGGCAGGCAGGCTAGTGGTTAGGAGCCAGTGGTTCTGGATTGTGAGAGGGATGTCCGAGGGGCCCCAGATTGGAGAGGGTGCAGGCTGGGCTGAGGGACACCCCGGCCCAAGTGCATGAATTTCATGCACCAGGCCTCTAGTTTGTCTAATAAAATACTTTGCTGGTTTTCAAACTTAGGGGAAATTCATTGGTTATTTTAGTGGCTTGTTTACACTGTTGCTGTTTGGCTGAAATTGTGTTAATGTTCTGTGAGATTTAATGAAGTCATTAAAATCAGCCAGTTTGACCCTTAAACACAATAAGGATGTAAAATTGATGTTCTTATTACTCTCAGATTAATATTCAGTTTCAAAATTAAGAAACAAATTACTCCATGCAACTTATATTTGAAAATACTTTTCTCATTTTTAGTGTTACTCAGTTTACCTGTCCCAAAAAGAATAACACTCATAATACACTGTTTAAATTTTTAAATTTACTTGACATTAGCTTTTTATTGAGACAAAAGAATACATATTTTCCTTATTAGTTTAACCTAAGAATAAGAAAAATTATTCTTTTGGGAACCAAAATTTTAATTAAATAGTTGTTTATCCCTAGTTCCTTAAAATTTAGATTGGTTATATTATACCCTCTCATGTGAAATTAATGCTAAAGTTTTATACATAGTTTTCATGACTTAGAAACAGTAAAGTAAACTTTGAGCTTATTTGAATTTTTGTAGTTTTATCATTTTATTTTTTCTTCCTAGTGCATCTATCCTTTGGGCTCTAAATCATTTAATAACTTAATTTCTCCTGATTTGGAAGATCTTGCTCCAAATAAGCCTCAAAAAAGAAAGCTCTTGGAAATCAGCTCTAAAGATTCACCTTCTTTAGCAACTTCCAAAAAGATTAAAAGTGATACTGTTATTGATGGTGAACAAGTTTTGAACAGCAAACATAATGGAGAAGCATACGAGGAAACCTCATCAGACTTACCTGACTCACTGCACAGTGGTCAGCAGAGCCCAGTTAAGGCTGCTGATTTCTTGGGACCGGATGAGATTTTGGAAGCTGCTGTTACTGACTTGGCTGCTGAAGAAGATGCTACTGCAGTTGATATTTCTAAAACTGGAGAGACTGCTCTTCACAATGAAGGAGGCACATCTGAACTGGAAATGCCACTGGAGAACAGATGTATACCATTTTGTCAGACTTCATGTGTTCAATGGAAAAATTCTGATGCCCTCTGTTGGTTAGACTGTCTCCTGTCACTATTGGTGCACTTGGAAGTGGTAAAAAAGGCAGTGATGACGGACCTGTGCTCTAAAGAGGAATCTCTGTTCTGGCAGTTGTTCGCAAAGTATAATCAAGCTAGTAAGCTTCTGCACGCCAGTCACTTGGATGCAGTTAAAGGTTAGTAATAATATTTTATTTTCCTTTAATTTGTAAAGAGGTTCAAGTTGAGTTTTGTCTCACAGTTTGTGGAAAAGATGCCATCAGTGGCCTCTGTTGAGCATTGAGACCTGGGAGCATTGTGTCCTGTGATTGCTTTTTTTTTTTTTTTTTATAATTTTTAAAATTCAATTTTTCACAAGCATTTTTTCTTTTGTCTTTTCTCTGTTCCTGTTTTCTGTTATTACAGGAACCCCAATACTGACTCGGTGACCATTCTTCAATTAATTGTTACAGAAGAGCAGCAACTCTTGTTTAAGTTTTGACTTAAATATTAAATTAATTGTATTTTTATATTTTAATCTTGTATTACTCTTTTACAGAATAATTGTTTTTATAATAGGGTTGTAATTAATTTGTTTGAGCTGCATTACTTTGAATTGTGTTTGAGAAAATACATGATATACCACAAATAGGGGAGGAAGAATTAAGATATTGTTGTGTTTTGCATTTTGTCTATGCAAAATTTATTTCCTGATAAACTTTCATTCTTGGCAATGTCTTAATTTTCTTGAAAAGATATAGGTTGATGAGAAATTGATAATCTTCTGTATTTTATTTTTAGATAGAGATTATACAAAACTTATTTCAGTATTTGCAGAGATAGAGACCTGTCTGAATGACGTCAGAAGTAAGATTTTTATCAGGCTTCAGCCTCAGCTTGGGTGCACATTAGGTAAGTAAATTTGTGTAATTTAACTGTATAACTCATCTACCATAAAGAAAAACTTACATCATAAATATAATACTGTTTTATTACTTTAATGATCCAGATTCTTGGGGGAAAGAATCTGAGTGGTTTCATTTAGGAATTGACCACTGGTTAAATCATCGGGGCAGAGCTGGTCCATATAAATATGCAGGTTGTGTTCCACCATAGAGTGGATGCTGGTCTCAGAAACAGGTGAAGACTCGGGTACCCTGATTGTTTATTTAGTACTTTCCCCCAGTAGGCTGTTCAGCTTTTTCAGCACTGTCTGTGCATTCAAAAGCACCTAAGGAATTTAACAATAGTGTTAGGGGCCAATTAAATAATCTCAAGATGGAGCTCAGGAATCAGGAATTTTAGAACTCACATGACTCTTACAGGTGAACAAGGTTGAGAATCTGTGGTCTAAACCAACCAGACTAATTCTACTTTATCTGCCAGTGATTAGTTTAGAAATGGACAGATGGTACATTTTTTGCCAGTGGGATATGAAGAGAAATATGCTGATGACCTTTTGGGGACACTCCCTTAACTTTAAAATAGGGTACAAGAATAAGACCTGCTTTGTCCTTTATTGGCTTTTGGCTCGGAGCAGTATGGAGCAAGAGCACTACTAGTACATCTCTGTCTGGGCTTTTCTAAATGTTTTTGTAAAGAGGAGCTGTAATGATTTGTTTGTTTGGGGGGGATGTCTTTTATTTCTATTTATCCTTGTTAAACTCCTTTATTGTATTATAGAAGCAGAATATATGGTACCCCTATTTAGGATATTACCCATTATTAAATTATGTAAAACACCAATGATTTTAAGTTTTTCTCTCAGTAAGTATATTTATTTTATCAGAACCAGATATTGTATCTGAAGCAGTGCTTTTTTTGCATGATAGTATCTCCTACTTCTTTGTTTCACAGTTTTGTCCCCTAGTTTTACTATCTCGTTTTTCATGAACTCATATAGATAAGAGTTTATTCTGTTTTAATAATAAACTGATTTTCAATATGCCAAGTCTTTGGTATTGCCTCCTCTAGATCTAAAGGGTTCTAATTTATCATTAGGTGGGGTCTCAGATGGGATGATTATTCTTTTTTCTTTTTATCAAAGTATAACAGTAACACCCTTTTTATTTTTTATTGTTGACAGTATTACAGATGTCCTCTATTTTTCTCCCCTTGGTCCCCCTCCACCCAGCCCCTACCCATCTCAGGCCTTCACCACACTACTTTCTGTATCCAAGGGCTATGCATATATGTGTGCAAGTTTTTTGGTTAATCTCTTCCTATCCTCCCCTCTCCACCCCCCCAATCTTCCTCCCCTTTGAGTTCTGTTAGTCTGTTCCATGCATCCATGCTTCTGGACTTATTTTGTCATATCATAGTTTTGTGGGTTTTTTAAAAAAATCTTTATTGTTGAAGGTATTACATATGTCCTCTTTTTTTTCCCCATTGACCCCTTCTAGTCCTCCCCACCACCTCCTAGGCCTTCACTACACTATTGTCTATGTCTGTATATGCATACAAGTTCTTTGGTTGATCTCTTTCCACCCACCCACTTACCCCAGTCTTTCCTCTGAGATTTAACAGCCTGTTCCACATTTCTATGTCTCTGGATCTGTTTTGTCATCAGTTTATTTTTTCATTAGATTCCACATATGAATGACATCATGTGATACTTGTGTTTCTCTGACTGACTTATTTCGCTTAGCATAATACTCTCCAGGTGCCTCCATGCTATTTCAAAGGGTAGGAGATCCTTCTTTTTTATAGTTGCATAGTATTCCATGATATAAATGTACCATAGCTTTTTTTATCCACTCATCTGCTGATGGGCACCTGGGCTGTTTCCAGATCATAGTTGTTGTTAATTACGCTGCTATGAACATAGGGCGCTATATTCTTTCAGATTGGTGTTTTGTGTGGGTTTCTTTTGTGTGTGTTTTTTTTAATATATTTTATTGATTTCAGAGAGGATGGGAAAGGGAGAGATAGTTAGAAACATCAGTGATGAGAATCACTGATCGGCTGCCTCCTGTACTCAGCCCACTAGGGATCGAGCCCATAACCAGGGCATGTACCCTTGCTGGAATCAAACCCGGGACACTTCAGTCCACAGGCCAACGCTCAATCTACTGAGCCAAACTGGCTAGGGCTATTTTGGGGTTCTTAGGATATATTCCTAGAAGTGGGATCACTGAGTCAAATGGCAGTTCCATATTTAATTTTTTGAGGAAACTCCATACTGTTTTTCACAGTGGCTGCACTAGTCTGCACTCCCACCAGCAGTTCCCTTTTCTCCACATCCTCATCACCAATTGTCATTTGTTGATTTGTTGATCACTTTTTATATGTAAACAGTTGTGTAACCATGACAATAATTAAGATATGGAATGTTCTATCACCCTAACATTTTCCCCAGACTCCTTAGTAGTCAGCTGTCTTCTTCACCTCAAATACTGATCTGTTGGGTGAACACTCATTTCAAGGAGTCTTTCCTAAGATCACCAGAGTACAGACTTGTGAGGCTCCCATGTTGCATTTTGCAAGTATCATTTCCCTCCTAGCATGACCTGAGATGTTTTATTCAGGGTCCACACTCCAGGTTCCAGTTGAATTAAAGAGTGGCTTCTTCCCCAGTCTGAATCATCACCCTTATCCCTGATAATTATGTTTGGAACAAAGTTGAATCTTGCTCACCGCCACCTTGGGCCTGATTTTCTTTCTTACAGAGAAGGGATTTTTAAATGATTATTTGTGCAATCATAGCAATTAGGCGAACCCCCTCTCATTTGTGATCCTACTACTCACTCAATCAGTGCTAGGTGCTACATTAGAGTTCTGATCTTACTAATGAAATCTAATCTTTGCTTCAGAGAGTACTATAAAATCTTACCATGTGATTTCTCATTCTGAATATTAATGTGTATTTTAAAGTACGAAAGAAAGAATAGAATTTGTTCTGACCCTGAATTTTGTTTAAATTTTTAAGATTAGCCACATTATCACTTTCATTATTGTTTTTGAAAAACACACTGTAAATTATCCTCTGTTCTCCCTCCCCATAGTTTAAGAAATATAGCATTACAAATACAACTCAGGCCCCCCTGTACTCTTCCCCAGTTTTTCCTTACCTCCTCACAAAGGTAATTACTGTCTTCAGTTTAGTGTTTTCTTTCCCTCTAATGCAGCGGTTCTCAACCTGTGGGTCGCGACCCCTTTGGCAGTCAAATGACCCTTTCACAGGGGTCGCCTAAGACCATCCTGCATATCAGATATTTACATTACGATTCATAACAGTAGCAACATTACAGTTACGAAGTAGCAACGAAAATAATTTTATTGTTTGGTCCCTGAGGAACTGTATTTAAAGGGCCAGAAGGTTGAGAACCACTGCTCTAATGTCTGTATTCCTTTTTTGTTGTTTGTTTCTAAGAAAAAGCTAATATTATGGTTTCTACTTACTTTTGTGTAAGTTAACAGAGTAATTTAGTCTGTATGTTCCAGCATAAGGATAGGCAGACCAGTCTATACTAATAACCTATACTAATAAAAGGGTAATATGCTAATTAGACCAGGCATCTTCCAGACGTCCTTTTGGACAAAGCCATGGTGGCAGGGGCCGAGGCAGAGGTAGGTGGTTAGGGGCGATCAGGCTGGCAAGGGAGGGCAATTAGGGGCGATCAGGTTGGCAGGGAAGGGCAGTTAGGGGCATCAGGCTGGCAGGCAGAGGCAATTAGGGGCAATCAGGCAGGCAGGCAAGCAGTTAGGAGCCAGTGGTCCGGATTGTGAGAGGGATGTCCGAGAGGTCCCGGATTGGAGAGGGTATTTAAAGGGCCAGAAGGTTGAGAACCACTGCTCTAATGTCTGTATTCCTCTTTTGTTGTTTCTAAGAAAAAGCTAATATTATGGTTTCTACTTACTTTTGTATAAGTTAACAGAGTAATTTAGTCTGTATGTTCCAGCATGTATGTCTGTATGTTCCAGTATGTCCCCCCACCTCCGCCTGCATGAATTTTGTGCACCAGGCCTCTAGTAGAACAGAATAGCCCAGATCAGGACCCTCTCCTTTTGGTTACTTGATACCGTTAGGGAGGCAGTGATGCAGATACGTAGGAAAGAAAAGGCATCAGTTGGTTCTTGATACAGGGGAAAGTTGGATCCCTACTTGACACCATAATCAGAAAGAAACTTCAGCATTTTTAAAGAGCTAAACTTGAAAAGCGGAATTGTAAAACTTTGGAAAAATATATAGGTGAATATTTTATCATTCACTGGGGAAGCATTTCGTAAATAAGATACATAAAAGATTGTAGATATGATTACATTAAAGTTTAAAGCCTCTGGTAAAAGATAGAGCAGAGAAACAATATCCAGCATATCTTATAAAGAACTCTTGTGCATTAGTTAAAAAAGTGATCAGAAGATGTTAATGACCAATTAACAGAAGAAAAAACTTGAATCCTTAGACAGCAAAGTCACTGAAAGGTTTGCATCACGGCAAATGAAATAGTTGGGTAGGAGTTGGTGTTAGGTTATTAAAGGCAAAGAAAAACCACTTAACTGATTTAGGCAGGAGGTTATAAAAATTGGAATTTTCACTGGTATTATGTGTTCTCTAGTAGGTTGCTTTATATTTCATTTCCATAAAATTTATAATCAAAGGAAAAATAAGATAAATTTAGAAGCTATAGAAATTACCTAAAATGATCTTTGACCCCACAACTTATTTAAGAATGTGTTTTGAGCCTTTTTGTATTTTGACTCATTGAGAACTTCATGTATTTTTAGATTTGAAGATTTTATGTTGTCATTATGAAATGTAAATTATTTACTTTTTAAATTTATCTTTAGTTACAATAGAGTAAGCATTTAAAGGCTGAGAACGAATTACAGACTCATGCTATACGGCATACTGTTTACATGTGTAGTGTTGCATATGTTCATTTTAGGAGATTGATTTGTATTTATTTCTATTTATAAAAATACTTTGTTTTGCCTGGCTGGTGTGGCGCAGTGGTTAAGTGTTGACCTATGAACCAGGGGGGTCATGGTTCAATTCCCGGACAGGACCCATCCCCAGGTTTCGAACTCCATCCCCAGTGTGGGGCATGCCTGAGGCAGCTGATCAGTGATTCTCTCTCATCATTGATGTTTCTATCCCTCTTGCCCTCTCCCTTCCTCTCTGAAATCAATTTAAAAAAATTTTGTTTTGACTTTGTTTTTGTGCAAAAATAGCAGCGGGACTATACCACAGAGGTGACTATTAATACAGCCTTTGTAACATCTGATATTTATAGATTATGTTTAGGCAGTAACAGCTATTACTGTTCTGCCTTTTGGTCTTGCTAAAGTGACTCTTCCAGGTGTGGTTCCAGGCTGAGAAGAGAACTGAATGTAAGACTGTCCCAGGGGAAGAAGGGGATGGAAGAACTCAGATTTTTTTCTAGCATCTAAACTCCCCTGAGGACAAGCAGGAGAAAAACCCATTGGAGAAGGAATGTAAGGGGAAATGTAAATCCTATTTAACTTGCTTGCTGATCTCCACATTGGAAGATAGTATTCATGGTTCAGTTTTTGTTTTAATGACAACAAAATTCAGATCTTTGCTAGTCTTTTTGTTTTTTAAATATGCTTTTATTGATTTTGAGAGAAGAGAGGAAGGGAGAGGTATAGAGAAATACACTGAGTGGCCAGATTATTATGACCACCCCATCAGTATTTCATGGACACTTCCAAAAATACTAAAATATTGAAAACTTCCTAAGCAAATATTTTCAAGGTTTTATTATTATTATTATTTGCATAACTAATTCACTTCATTGTACTGATGGAGTGGTCATAATATTCTGGCTGGTCATAATAATGTGGTCACTCAGTGTAGAAACATCAGTGAGAGAAGATCATCATTGATCGGCTGCCTCCTGCGCACACTGCTACTGGGGATTGAGCCTGCAACCCTGGGTATGTGCCCTGACTGGGAATTGAACCAGCAACCTCTTTGGTTCCTGGGTCGAACGTCAGAAGAGTGATCAGTAAGGAGATTTGAGATTGGTCCTTTTACCCGTGTATGTCATGCTCTTGCCACATGGAGAATAAGAAAATCAGAATAGAAATGGCTTCTAAATGCTTTTATCCAACTCTGACATTCTACCATGGTTTACCAGTTATATTATTTTTAATATCTGTAGCAAACCATTGACATATTTATTTTGTTTTTATAATACTCTAGAGCAGCGGCTCTCAACCTATGGGTCACGAACAATGAAAATACATCCTGCAGATCAAATGTTTACATTACGATTCATAACAGTAACAAAATTACAGTTATGAAGTAGCAACGAAAATAATTTTATGGTTGGGGTCACCACAGCATGAGGAACTGTATTAAAGGGTCCTGGCATTAGGAAGGTTGAGAACCAATGCCTAGAGTAATTATAGCCCGGAGGAATTTTTTCTTCCTGATAAAAGCTAAGGCGATTTGAGAAGATAGTGTGGATCTTTTGTGTCTTGCTTTAAGGAGTTTTCATACATGTCCACCAAGAAAAATGAAAGATACTGAAGTGATAATTAAATCTTTATTGTGGACTTTATTTATGTTTTTACTTTTTGGTTAATCCTCACCTGAGGGTATTTTTTCCATTGACTTTTTAGAGAGATGGAGGGGCGGGGAGAGAGAGAGAGAGTGTGTGTGTGTGTAAGAAATAGCAACATCAATGTGAGAGACACACATTGATTGGTTGTCTCCTGCACATGCCCCTGCCCGGGAATTGACCCTGCAACCAAGGTACATGCCCTTGACCCTGAATCAAACCCGAGACCGTTAAGTGCTAGCGCTGATGCTCTAACCATGGAGCCATACTAGCCAGGCTATTATGGACATTTTTTTAGAAAAATGCTTTAAAATCTTACCCTTGCCCAACTGTGAATAGCATACTCTGTCACATGTGAATATGAATATATGGCAGAGTATGTTATTGACAGTTGGGCCAGGTATAGTGAGAAAAGACAACAGGTTCATAATTTGGATTTACCGTTTTGGGTTCATTATGAGCAATCATTTTTCCTTTTCTTTTTGAAGGTGACATGGAAAGCCCTGTGATTGCATTTCCCCTGCTCCTAAGAATAGAAGCCTGCATTGAAAAGCTCTTCACGTACTCTTTTTCTTGGAACTTTGAATGTTCACAGTGTGGACACAAGTATCAAAACGGGTTCGTTTTTCTTTTTTTTTAAATGGATTCATTCTATTGAAAATGGTTTTAAGTAATCAAATTTGAATAAAACTTGTTTCCACTTACAACACCTCTTTCTCGATGGCTCCTTCTACCCTTGATAAAACTTCCCACCCTATCTTGAAGTCTCTCTACCACTAAGGTTAAAAGGAAGAATTCGAGTCCCAGAAACTGCAGTTTGCTTGCTTCTTTATACTGGAAGAAAACCCATGGTTTGATAGATTACGAGTGGGAGTTTGCTTAAGGTTTTCAGTGGTGAGTGGGACAAATGGGAAAAGTAGAACCATCCTCTCCAATCCTTTGTGAATTCCCTGCTGAGTAATACTACCTCTCAGAACCCCTTGAAACTTTGTTTTTGTTTACTCTTCTAATAGAGACCAGGTTTTTGTTTATGTTTTTAATATCATGGAAACTTATTTTGGTCTCCCAGAGTTTGGCAGCAGCTCTCAGAGGTAGTAGGTGCTCTCCTGTACCTAACCTTAGTCCCTGAAAGACCAGCCAGCCCCCAGAATCCTCCATGTACTCTGTCAGCTATACTTTCCACTTCCCTGCCACCTATTGGAGGGGTCATGGTTGGTGTACATGGCCCTGTGATTAGTACTTAGGAGAGGCTGGAGAAGAAAGCAACTGTAGGATTCTTTTGCTTCCACACACGTACCACATAATGCAGGAGATTAGGTTTTAGAAGAGGTGTTATACGGAGAGAAAGTTTCCATCAGACAGGATACCCTCACTTTGTCAATATATAAGAAAGTTGCTAGCTGAAGGTTGAGAAGATTACCTAACTGGTTTTGTTAGTCATTTATTCAAAATTTTCTAATAGAGATAAATCCTTTTCTTATTTCTTAAACTCACCTACTTGGTAAATTAGAAAATTTTAAGTCTTTCAAAATTATTTGTTAAAATGAGAAGAAAATGTTACTTAGATGTTTATTATCTAAATTGAGATTATTTTTATATATTTCAGGATCAGTTGAGAGTAAAGTCTATGAGAGAATGACCTAGAGCAGTGGTCGGCAAACTGCGGCTCACGAGCCACATGCGGCTCTTTGGCCCTTTGAATGTGGCTCGTCCACAAAACACCGACTTCTGTGCATGAGCCATGAAATTTCAGTCGCACTGTACATGCACGCCCACACGTGGTATTTTGTGGAAGAGCCACACTCCAGGGGCCAAAGAGCCGCATGTGGCTCTCAAGCTGCAGTTTGCCGACCACTGACCTAGGGAATGCAAGCAACAGAACCAGAAAACTTTTTTTTTTTTTTTACCAGTTAGCTCGAAAGTAGTAGAATAGAATACGAATTAGCATTTCACTCATACCTAGGACTTAATATAATTTTGTGTAAGTGAGTGAGTATGAGAACAAATATTTGTTTCCTGATCTTCTATCACTGATTATATAAATTATCTGATTTTCTTCCCATTTGGCAAATGTGGAAAGTGAAGCTTGAAAGCGGTTATTTAAACAGATGTCCAAGGGGACACACTAACTAGTAAGTGGTAGAATTCAGGCTTAAGTTTTCTTGCTCATTGTGGTAAACTCCCTAATCACAACCTGGATTTTACATAATATAAACAAGCTTGATTAAAATTAGCTCAATTCTACTTTTCTAAAATCTACATCTCAGTTTGACAGTTTTTCATTGAATACATTCTATGTGCCAGGAATTCAACTTGGCTTGGCCAAATTCAGACTAGTTAGAGCAGGGGTGGGCAAACTTTTTGACTCGAGGGCCACAATGGGTTCTTAAACTGAACCGGAGGGCCAGAACAAAAGCATGGATGGAGTGTTTGTGTGAACTAATATAAATTCAAAGTAAACATCATTACATAAAAGGGTACGGTCTTTTTTTTTTTTTAGTTTTATTCATTTCAAATGGGCCGGATCCGGCCCGCGGGCTGTGGTTTGCCCACGGCTGAGTTCGGGAGATAACAGGTAAACATGTAAGAGAGGGTCATTGATTTCATAATTACTTTGAGCTGTTGGCTGCTTTAAGTTACTTTGAATATGTGGTGATAAATGCATTTGGAGGTGTATAGAGTAAACTCTTGAGAGTTCAAGGGAAAGAAGCCACTTTCTCTGCTTTTCTTTAATTCCTTTGTTCTAAAAATAAAAGTAGAGCCCTAGCCAGTTTGGCTCAGTGGAGAGAGCCTCGGCCTTTGGATTGAAGGGTCCTAGGTTCAGTTTCGGTCAGGGCCCATGCCTGGGTTATGAGCTTGATCCCCAGTGTGGGGCATGCAGGAGGCAGCCAATCAATGATTATCTCTCATCATTGATATCTCTATCTCTCTCTCCCTCTCCCTTCCTCTCTGAAATCAATAAAAATATATTTTTTTTAAAAAGTAGATATAGAGCCGCAACCGGTTTGGCTCAGTGGATAGAGCGTCGGCCTGCGGACTGAGGGGTCCCGGGTTCGATTCCGGTCGAGGGCATGTGCCTGGGTTGCGGGCACATCCCCAGTGGGAGATGTGCGGGAGGCAGCTGATCGGTGTTTCTCTCTCATCGATGTTTCTAGCTCTCTATCTCTCTCCCTTCCTCTCTGTAAAATATCAATAAAATTTATATATATAAAAAAAGTAGATATAGAGGAAAATCTAAAGTGAAATGGTATTATTTCATGAAATAAATTTTAATATATATGGGTTAAAACTTAATCTGCTGAAAGAATATCCTGTTAAGAGCTTTAACTTGATTTAGAAGTTATGTTCTGGAGTTAAACACGTGGTCTACCGAGTCAGATTCCCTGGATCCCAATCTCGGGTCTGTCATTTACCATGTGATATGCATTCTGCATTTTACTTTCCTCATCTGTACAATGGGGATAAGAATGACATCTGCTATGGGAGTTGTTTGAAAGAGGAGTGCTTGGCATAATGCCCTGCCCTGCACATCGTCAGTGCTCAGAAATGTTGGATGTCATATGGAGCGTTAACACTTCTTTGCTGAGACAGATTCTCTTTTATAAACTAAGAAATGAGAGCCTTTACTTAACAGTTATCTTTGAGAATCAAAAATTTAGCAGAACTACAGCTGATGCATTTGTTGATCCCTTTATGCTGCTTTGCTTTTAAAGTGTTAGCTTCCCTGAGAGCTGTTGCAGTTTTATCAGCCTGTGCTTATCTTTATCTCACTTGTGATTTATCAGTATTTGTTATTGTTTAGAACAGATGCCGATGTCCCTTAGGTAATAAATAATTGTTCTTTTGAAAATAATTTTTATTAAATTGAATGCAGATAAGGTACAGTGTACATCCTTAACGATCATTGTTTTAGATGCCTATTGCTATCAAGTATTTAGGCCGAAGTGTACATTTAGAACTTGTATAATCTATGAAAACAGAATTATTTCACAACTGATGTTCTAACTTTTTAAGGATCAAGAAAATTAAGTTACTGTCACATTATTTTTGGCTGCCAAAAAATACAATATCACCCTGAACGGGTGGCTCAGTTGCTTGGAGTGTTAATAAGTGGAACAACAAATCAGCGATTCTCTTTCTCTGACCTTTTGGTGTATGAGACTACACTCAAACTAACTAAGCCACCTGGCCAGGGCAGTACCTTCTATTTTAGACATTGATTTAAGTTAACATGAATGAATTTAATGTAAATGAATTTATGCCTTTTTTTTTTTTAGATGTATGAAGAATCTAGTCACCTTTACAGATCTTGTTCCTGAGTGGCACCCACTTAATGCTGCGCATTTTGGTCCCTGTAGCAATTGCAACAATAAGTCACAAATAAGAAAAATGGTATTGAAAAAGTGAGTTAAAATTAATTTACTAATTTTAAAATAAAATGAAGGTGGATTTACATATTTTTTTAATGTGTAGTATTGAAAGTGATGATTGCAAACTACTTTTCAGGAGTTTGAGTTAACACATATTTATGAATTGCTAAAATGCTTTTCTGTTAGGAACTTTGGCCAACAAGTAAGCTCTTTCTTAGGTGAAATGAAGAGCACACTCAGGGTGATTATCTGACCCCACTCTCCTACTGTCTTTTGTTCTTTTGCCTTTTTCTCCCTTTAAGAATATTAAACATCATTTTTTCTCTCCTCTGCCAAGTGCCTGCAGTCACTAGAATTCTGGCATTTCCTTAATCTAATTTTAAGAACTCGTGATTCAGAGTGGAGCTACAGGCTCATCAGTCTGAATTTCCATCGCCCAGACCTTGGCCTGCTGATTCCTCATCCTCTTGTAAGCTTTCTGCTGCCCTTAAGCAGATGTCTTTTATTATGTTCTGCCAGCTTTTCTATTTATCCTCAGTGGGAGGACTGGTCAGAATTACCTTTTCCAGTGGCGCCAGAAGCCCATGGCTTTAAACTCACAGGCTAATTCCATTTTTGGTAGTTTGTCTCTCTTGTCAGTATACTCACGTAGGTGTACATCCTCTTTAATCTTCATTTTCTGTTGCCTTTATCTCTAACTCTACAATCAGGAAATGTTTTAAGATATAATTTGATGTAATAAAGAACTAATGATATTCTTATCTTTTCTGTTGCCTTTGGATGTGCCAAGAAACCCCTCAGATTTTTTTTTTTAATTTATTGATTTTAAAGAGAGATGAAGGGAAGGAGGGGGGGAGAGAGAGAGAGAGAAAGGGAATCACTGATTTGTTGTTCCACTTATTTATACATTCATTAGTTGACTCTTGTATATGCCCTGACGGGGGATCAAACCTGCAACCTTAGTGTCTCAGGATGATGCTCTAAACAACTGAGCCACCTGATCAGGGCCTCTAAAGGTTTGTTCTCATCCAAGTAATAAATTCCCAATCAGATAGTGCCAAGACTTAAAAAGGAAAAAAAGAGCAATGCCCCTCATATTCCATCTCCAGGCATCTACTTTAAACCTATTAAGTAGTATTTACTTTGACTTTTCAAAACAGTATGCTATTCCACCTTTATACAGTCTTCTTTTATAGTAGTTAAGTATTAGGGCTTTTAACCGTCATCTGGGCCCAGTTCTAACTTTTCCCTTTCTATGTGATTGCATTTTGGATAAAATCAGTACTCACTGTTTATTATGAGTATGCATATATTCCCTCCCTAGCCAAGCAGTATATTTGGTTCTGTTTTATTTCTTGTACAACTCTTTATTTTTCCTGGAATTATTAATTGCCTTGTGTTTGTATTTGCTTTATGTATGCATTGTGATTTTTTCCCAAATTCTTCAAATGCCTATTAATACTTTTTTAAACACTCGAATGCTTCACAACTTTTGAGTCTTCCTCCCCTTTTTTTTCTTGGAAACCTCTCTTCTGCCTTTCATCCTTCTGCTCCAGTGTTACAGTCTATACTGGTTCCTCTTTGGGCCTGGGCATGAGAGTGCTCTATACACTTCCTGTCACTGTCCCAGTTTTTAGTGCAGAGCCTTACCCCACTCTTACACATCGAGTCTTTTAGGGGTTCTCTTCTCGTGAATATGCCTGCTCTGTTGCACTTGCGTCATAACTTCGTCCATTCTGCTGAGTTACCACTTTTCTGTTTGCTTTTTGTCTCCTAACTATTTATAGTCTCTTGTTTTGTTTTTTTCATGACTCTTTGTCCTTTCAGTTAATTACCTTTTTTCGTCCTTCACTATCATATGATAGCATTCACATGGGAGGGCAAATTGGGAAAGAGGAGACAGAAGGCCATAATCTGTCTTGGCTGTCTGCAGTGCAAGTTTTGAGATCTAAGTGTCGAAGGAGCCTCATTTCTTTTTTTTTTTTCTTTTAAGCCCTCTTCCTTGATGAGGTAGAAGGGCTGCAGGTGTAGGTGTGTGCCATCTGCAGTGGACCATTGAATTATTTGAGGCTTCTGGTGTTTATAATTTCATCTAAGAGTTTATACATGCTTTTTTTCAAGCCCCAGCACTGAAGATAAATTCATATTACTATTTTGTTTGATCTGTTAATTGGTTTCATTGCAACACAATTTTTACATAAACATGTTGCTTTACTTACATTAAAGATTTGTGCTCTGATCTGGAAATGTATCTGCAGGGTGTAATGGTGTTTGAGCAAGAAATGTGCTTAGAGTTCTAGTGGGTCAGTTTATAAGCAAAATTTATAATTTGGACATTTATTGTATTAAAAAATAAATGGAACTGGTGTGTAAATTTCACTTAAAACTTAAATGACGAGGCCTTTATAAAGTTCTTCGTAGTTTTTTACTTTGAAATTTATATAACTTGATTTTTGGCATTTAATGGAATTTAGAAACAAAATATAGTTTTTAGGGATAACTTAAAAGTAATTAGGTCTATCATGATATCATGCATAATTCAGTCTTATAGCATTTTAAAAACTAATAGTGTTATTAAGTTCCCTGAACACCTTGTCTCAGGTAATTCACATCTCTAATATGTTCCCATTAGAAAAAGAATCCATTGGGAAATCAGATGAATGATAATTTAGTGGGTTCACATCTACTTTAAGTAACTTGTTTGGGAATTCCATTCAGAGCATGGTGGTGACATGGAGTACCAATTTAGAATCTGATTTAATTTTACTTCACCAACTCTTAAAAATTTGTTTTAATCCTTATCTGAGGATATTTTTTTCAGAGAGGGTGGAAGGGAGGGAGGAAGGGGAGAGAGAGAGAAACATTGACTTAAGAAAGACGCATCGATTGGTTGCCTCCTGCAAGCGCCCCGAGTAGGGCTGGGGATCAAACCTGCAACCAAGGTATGTACCCTTGACCAGGATTCAAACCCGCAATTTTTTTTTTTTAAATATGTTCTTTTGATTTTTTTACAGAGAGGAAGGGAGAGGGAAAGTTAGAAACATCGATCAGCTGCCTCCTGCACACCCCCTACTGGGGATGTCCCCACAACCAAGATACATGCCCTTGACTGGAATCGAACCTGGGACCCTTCAGTCCGCAGGCTGATGCTCTATCCACTGAGCCAAACTGGTTAGGGCAGTGGTCGGCAAACTGCGGCTTGCGAGCCACATGCGGCTCTTTCGTCCCTTGAGTGTGGCTCTTCCACAAAATACCACATGCGGGCGCACAAGTACAGTGCGATTGAAACTTCGTGGCCCATGCGCAGAAGTCAGTTTTTGGCCTGGGCGAGTCTATTTTGAAGAAGTGGGGGGTGTCGGTCGACGGGAGACGCGGCACAGGTGGGCCGCAGGATACACAGCGCAGGAGAGGTACATTGTTTTGAGGTACGTTCGCTGAGGTCGATCCCTTCCAACTCTCGCATCCACACTCGTCTATCTGAAACAAGTATACAAGAGGAGTGTAGATGGGAGAGTTGGAAGGGGTCGACCTCAGCAAACGTACCTCAATCAGACTAAGGACATTTTTAGCAAAGGCCAGCTTAGGAGTAACCTAATCTACACTAATAAAAGACAAAGATGCTGCTTGGTTGCCCGGGCAATGAAAAAAGCCAAGCTTCCCGCCTGCCCTGAGCCGGCTGTGGCCTCCGCTGATGGCAACAAAGTTTCAATTATAGAAGAAAAATAAATCCCAGATATCTGCTTCTAGCCAGCCTCTACTGGGAACTTGGGTGGCTGGGGGCTGTGGCCAGCCTGCAAACAGCCATCAGCCCCTCACCCAGGCTGGCCAGGCACTCCTATATAATAAAAGGGTAATATGCAAATTGACCCTAACAGCAGAACAACTGGGAATGACTGGTCACTATGACACACACTGACCACCAGGGGACAGGTGTTCAATGCAGGAGCTGCCCCCTGGTGGTCAGTGCACTCCCATATTGGGAACTCTTCTCAGCCACAAGCCAGGCTGACAGCTGCCAGTACAGCGGTGGTGGTGGGAGCCTCTCCCGCCGCCTCAGCAGCGCTAAGAATGTCCGACTGCAGCTTAGGCCTATTCCCCGCTGGCAAGTGGACATCCCCTGAGGACTCCTGGGCTGCCAGAGGGATGTCTGACTGCCAGCTTAGGCCCAATCCCCCCAGGGAGCGGGCCTAAGCCAGCAGGTAGTCATCCCCCGCGGGGTCCCAGACTGCAAGAGGGCACAGGCTGAGGGACCCCCCCACCCCTCTGAGTGCACAAATTTTTGTGCACCGGGCCTCTTGTTAAGTTAATAACAGTGTACCTACCTATATGGTTTAAGTTTTTAAAATTTGGCTCTCAAAAAAAAAATTTCAATCATTGTACTGTTGATATTTGGCTCTGTTGACTAATGAGTTTGCCGACCACTGGGTTAGGGCAAACCTGCAACTTTTTGTCCGTAGCCTGACTCTCTAACCACTGAACCATAGGCCACAGCTTCACCAACTCTTGAAATGACCATCTCATTTTCATTACTGCCATGATCTTTAGGAGTCTGGTCATACACTATCCTGGATTGTCATCTGAAAAGCATATTTATTTAAATTTCAATGGAACCACAAGGAAAATAAACTGGAAAAAGGGAGGAGGCATATGCTTTATTTTATTGACTCCAAGATGCCATCATTTATAAGTTGTACTGTTTTTTAAATATGCCATTAAGAAATGCTGCCTATGTAACATTTTCCATGTGTAAACTCACACTACTGAGATTGCAAAATCTAGGGATCAACAATAGTAACTAGCCTCAGAAGATAACTTGAAAAAGTATCATAAGACCAAGAGAGAACTAAATATTAGTACTTACAGGGTCAGGCAGGTGCCTATAGCCTGCCTTTCCAGCTGTGAAAATATATCTCTAGTTTTACTGTGGATGGTTGATTCAAAGATACACTCCCCATATTTTAACATACTTGAAATGGGAATACATCTAAATTGTATAATTTAATTGCAATATTATTTTATAGTGGTACATTTTACCATCTGTGGCATCTTAGATTGATGTAATAGGTCATTGGGAGTTGAGCGTTAGGATAGTTTTGCAGGACTTTCTATTTGTAGGTACTTAAATTTTGGAGATTTCATTATTTTCTAACAATGATTGACAACAGATAATTTACAAATTGTCCTTGTCAGACTGAATAAGCGGTATTTTAGACATTGATTCAAGTGCATTTTCAACTGAAAAATTTTTACAAACTACGTTTTGACAGCTGTTTAAATATTCCTTAAACTTTTCTTAAATCCTGAGAGCTTTGTTAAATTTAGTATTTGAGGCTCATCTTGAGTTCTGTTTTCTGGCTAGCCATGTTTTTGTAATGATATATTTTTAAAGTTATGCGTATCTTGAAGTTTATAGTAGATTAACCAGTATGTTGTATTTTCTTCTACTTAGTTATAAATTAAATTTTTCCTAAATAGAAATTTTAATTTCATGGCTCTCTCTACTTCCTGAAATAACGAAGTTGTTAGCATGTTGGGGTTTTTAAATGTATGTTTGAACATCTTGGGTTTGTTACTTTGTTTTACATATTACCTATCCCCTCTAACAAAAGCAGTTATTTGGGTACTCGATGCCAAGAAAATTCCAATAGGTCTGGATTTTTCTTTTGATTCTTCAAAGTAGTTACCAATAGATCATCTTCTTCCGCTTCTCCCTTTTCTTCTTCCTCTTCCTCTTCTTCCTCTTCCTCTTCTTCCTCTTCATCTTCTTCCTTCTCCTTCCTCCTCCACCTTCTTCCTCGTCTTCCCTCGCTGGCCTCACTCCTCTTCCTCCGTTGTTGTCTTCTACCAGGATCGAGCCTGTAGCCTGGGCATGTACCCTGACTGGGAATCGAACCAGCAACTAATATATTTTATTGATTTTTTACAAAGAGGAAGGGAGAGAGACAGAGAGCCAGAAACATCGATGAGAGAGAAACATCGGTCAGCTGCCTACTGCAATCCCCCACCGGGGATGTGCCCACAACCCAGGCACATGCCCTCAACCGGGATCGAACCTGGGACCCTTCAGTCTGCAAGCCGACGCTCTATCCACTGAGCCAAACCGGCTTCGGCTAAACCAGCAACTTTTTGATGCACAGGACTATGCCCGATCAACTGAGCCACACTGGCCAGGGCCTAAGAGATCTTTAAGCTGAAGCAGCACCGTGGTTTACTGAGCAATTTTTGTTTAATGGTCTGTGGCCTTATTGCATGATAGCTTCCAACTGTCAGTGATCCCATTCTGAGATGGGTTTAAACATTACCCATTTCTTAGAGTGAGTTCTCCATTTTTAATTAAGGCTCAAGAAGAATTAGTGTGGTTCTCCTTGAAAGAACTGTGTGACTTACTAATACCAGACCGTCTTTTGTATTACCACAGCAGTTATCAACCTGTGGGTCATGACCCCTTTGGGGGTCAAATGACCCTTTCACGGGGGTCGCCTAAGACCATCGGAAAACACATATATAATTACATATTGTTTTTGTGATTAATCACTATGCTTTAATTCAATTTGTAACAATAAAAATACATCCTGAATATCAGACAGTTACATTATGATTCATAACAGTAGCAAAATTACAGTTATGAAGTAGCAACGAAAATAATTTTATGGTTGGGGGTCACCACAACATGAGGAGCTGTATTAAAGGGTTGCAGCATTAGGAAGGTTGAGAACCCCTGTATTACCAGGTACATTATTTGATCTCTCTTTTCTTTCTCTCCCACAGAGTGTCTCCCATATTCATGTTGCACTTCGTAGAAGGCTTACCACATAACGACTTGCAACACTACTCATTTCTTTTTGAAGGCTATCTTTACCAAATAACTTCTGTAATTCAGTACTATTCAAATAATCATTTTATAACATGGATTTTATGTGTTGATGGTAAGTGTTCAAAATTTTTTTCTTTTATGATAATACTAGAGGCCCAGTGCACAAATTCATGCATGGATGGGGTCTGGCCAGCCTGCCCCAATTGGGTTAGGCCAGCTGGGGGGAGGGGCCATGGGTGGTTGGTGGGCTGGTCCCGCCCCCAATCAGGGGTTTTGGGGGTTGATCAGAGGCCAGGCCAGCCGAGGATGGGGCCGATCAGGGTCTGGATCAGGCTGGTTGGCTGCTGCAGTGTGTGTCATAGCCACCGGTCATTCTGGTCATTCCGCCATTCCGGTTGCTGGGCTTTTGTATAGAGAGAGATTCATAGAGAGTAAATTCTATTGTGTGCTGATGGTAAGTGTTAAAAAGTTTTTATTTTATGATAATATGTATAGAGTCTAAGCTCTATTAAAAGACAAACTTTGCTTTGACTCTTCTTTCTTTCTTCTTGCCCTTGCCTTTATTTTTCTGCTCTTTCCTATACCCTGTCACTATGGTTTAGAACCACTCCTAACTTTTCATTTGCTTATGTCAGCATATTTATGTGCACACATATGCATAAGCATGTTTCTTTTTTAGACAATGAGATCATATACTACCAGTGGTTTACAGTTTGTTATTTTCCACTTAATATCTTTATTTTTTATTTTTTTATTATATGAGTAATATATGTTCAGTATAGAAAAATGAATGGTGGTAATTTGATTTTTTTGGTATATAACCTTATATTTGTAAAGAAAGTGCAAGTAAAGGTTTTTAATTGAGAATGAATAAAAAGAACAGGTTTCACTTACTTTGTAATTGTTAGTAATATAAATAAAAGTAAACATCTATTTCTGAAACTATTAGACCTTACAAACTATGTAGCCTTCTCTCACTGTGAAATAGTTTGCTGAACAGTTTCAGTCAAGGTAAAGCCTTTACTTAAATAAGTAAACTTTCTAATAGAAGGATAAATAGTACAACTCATGGATTTTGCTAATTTTCCCCTCTCATTTATCTAATGTAGTTTACTCTTGAGTTTTTTTCCTCACAATGTTCACTTTGTCTTAGGCAAGACAACTCAGTTCCCTTAAAGTGTTCTATCGGGCCATTGATATTTTTTATTTTTCTATTTTTTATTGTTTTGATATTGTTTATATTTGATATTTTTCTTCTGGGACGGTTTGGATGGGTGAGACTATACTGTGTTATAAATGTACTTTGCAAACTAATACTTGCATTATCAATGTCATTAATTACCTTAAAGTTTTACCCTACTTCGGAATTTGGGGTAAGTTGTTCTCAATAGCAAGCAAAAACTAAAAAAAACATTTATTTCAATTTATTAATGTATTCCAGTGAAGGAAAAATCCTCTTTAGGTAAAAGAGGTTAGATGGTTTCCATCCTTGGCAACATATAAAAATCATGGTTAGCTTATTAAAAATGTCCTGGTTCTCCCCTAGACCC